CTTTGGTTTATGTCAATATTTCGTTTTTCTCAGACATGATTCTGAAGCTCTGCATTAATTCTGGCTTAATTAATAGAATCTATGAGAAGTGTCCCAAATTATTTCATTTAGCAGGTTTATAAATTATCTATACAGGAGGAGAAAGATCTGATCTTCTGTCTTCATCTTGTTTTTTTGTTGGTCCAAATTGATCTTTTTGTTCTCTAGATGCTGCATTTCTATGTTAAGGTCAGGAAATGAGTTGTTGCCACTATGTTTTGTTTACTGATGTGATGTCATTGTATTTATTGATGAAGCCCTTTTCCCCGGTTGAAGGATCCACGGTCAGAGGAGCCATTTTGAACATGTTGGAAACATTTCCTGTGATCTTTACGTATTTATTGACTGTGATGAAAAAGAAACCTTCCAGTGTAAACAGATCGTTCTGTGAGAAGGAATAAAACTGTCCGTTCATCTTCGGGTCTGGATGGTTTGTTCAACCTGCTGCTGCTTCTGAACATTTCACTCCGGAAATAAAGTCCCTGTTTGAAACATCAAGCTGTACGACAATAAATCAGCCAATCAGCTTCACTGTCAGCCACAGCAGGTTTATCAGCATCCATCTTCATCTGGTTGACCATGTGAACCTGCATCCATCCATTTTTGCTCTTTGAATTTAATCCACTTCATGTTTTTAGTGTTAATTTAAATCCAGAAACTCTTTAATAAACGAAACATTACCGCCAGATATCTGCCTCAATTACTATTAAAACAACTATTTTCATTGCTGATGAAGGTTCTCAGTCATCCAGGTCATAGTCATTCCGTAAAAATTCAAAAAATATCCACTGGACTTGGTTTTCAAGATTTGAAGACGTTTCGCCACCTCTCCAGGAAGCTTTCACATTTGAATTGAGAAAGCTTCCTGGAGAGGTGGAGAAACGTCTTCAAATCTTGAAAACCAAGTCCAGTGGATATTTTTTGAATTTTTACGGAAAAACTATTTTCATTCATTCATTCAGATGGAATTTTCACAGACTTGGATTAAATGAAACTGAACATCCAATGTTCGATTCTATTCAGTGTATTTCTATAACTCCAATTCACATCATGTCATCTCAGGTCACTTTATAGATCCAGATCAACCAGATCATCCAGTCAGATTGATTCAAAGTTTTCTATCTAAGGAAAACCAGCTGATTGCATCGACTCATTGACTCTTCAGCAATCCCTCACACTAAGCATGCTTGTAGCGACAGTGGAGAGGAAAAACTCCCTTTGAACAGGAAGAAACCTCCAGCAGAACCAGGCTCAGTGTGAGCGGCCATCTGCTGAGGCCCACTGGGGTTCAAGGAGGCAGAAGCAGACATAGAAAAAGAAGCATAGATACAAAAGGCAACCAGCTCCACAGGCGGCCCCGTCCAGGCAAAGCATTGGGTTCGAAGGCTCTATTACTTCATTAAGGCTTTATTTGACCATCACTGGTAGCTAGTTATAAAAGCAGATGGTTTACTTCTGTTTTATTGTCAAATTCTCACAGGAAACAGTTCTCATTCGGGTCGTGTCGCCGCTTGTGATTCATTCACGGGCCCCGACCAAAATATCAAAGAGGTTTGATTTCCTTGTGACTCATGGTTTCTGATCAGGAGCCTGTATGAGCTGCTAATTTAATATTTGAATAGAAGTTCCATATCTGTGCAGAATTATCTATTGGATCAGGATTTGAGCTCAATTCTCATTTTCCTTTCAGAAAGTTTTTCAATTAAAAACAGTCAGTCAGGATTCTTGCTACTGCAGCTGTTTTAATTCATCATTCAACACACCTGTCAGCTCCACCCCGTTCCCAATCAGCCTCCATCAGATTCACCTGCTCACCTGACTATATGAACAGCTGTGAGGCGTCACTAGTGCCAGATTATTAAGAGCCATTGGTGAGTTTAGTCAAGCCTGCCTGCCTGACTGCCAGGCAGCCATAGTGTGTTTTTGGATTTCAGTTTTCTGTGCTCTGACTTTGCTCTCGGATTCTCCCCCTGGATTATCTCTGGTTCTCGGATCACCTGGACCCGACTCTGGATCCGTACTCTGGTTTTTCCCTTTGATCATTCTGCCTGTCTCTGCTCTCCTGGATCTGGCCCTGTGCATTCCCCTGGAGACCAAAGAGTACCTGTTAAAGAAGGAACCTGAAATCAACCTGGATAGATTAAAGAATCTTGAGATTCACCAGTGATGATAATCGCCAACCTGCTTCCTCAAAAGCAAAGTTTGCCCTCAAACTTACAGGTTAGTGAACCAACATAGGAAACATTGCCCTCTGTTTCTGCCTGATCACTCAACTGTCCAAACTCCTTCCAAAAGGTGAGGTTGCTGAAAAAAGCTGTTTTCATTCAGTCTTAGAAGGACTGTTTCGTTGTCCTACCTCCAGCCTGGCAGGCGCCTCTAATCCTCTGCAGTCATTCTTCCTCCTCCAGCAGGAGGCTTTCCTCAGCAAGCTGGTGCCTCTTCCTGCTCTGTCTCCCTGACTGGCTTCTCCAATGTACCACTTTCCTCCCCCGGTCATCTTCAACAGTAAGCTAAATATTATTTCCTGGCCTCTCCTGGGCCTTTTGCGCACCGTTTGCCCAGCAGGCTTCTCTGATGTAAAGCTTCACTCCTAAGCCCTCCTCTGAGCTAGCAGTGACAATCTGCGGCCTTTATCGACGTGGTTCCTCAGCTCCGGAGGGGCTGGGTACCTTCTTCAGCTTCTTGACCAATTCCTGAGTGGCCGATATAAGTGTAAATCATTAACGAACCCATAGAGTTTGATGAGAGGGAACCTTGTTGCTAGGTAACCATACTGTTCGCTAAGTGGTGGGAAAAATAGTGCTCAGTTGTATTCTTTCATTTCATACCAACAAATTGTCATTTTTTTGTATGGGTATCAGTGGCGGCTGCTCAATAGAGGGCGCTAGAGCGCCGCCCAACCCACTCAATGACCCTGATTAAGACATAAAATATTTATATATGTATATTTTTTATAATTAAATTTTAAATTAACATTTAAAACATTTTTGAAATACATTTATATGTATTTTTAGATGTGCAAGATACATATTTAATCTTTAATGTCAAGTAAAGCGTCATTCCATTTTTCGTCGGATTGGTGACGTATTTCCGTCTAGGGCACAAAAATCTCTCCCATCGACTCTCGTTAAAAGTTGTTAATGCGCAGCAGCTGCTCTGCAGCACAGAAGCTATAGGAGAGCTGAGGTGCGTCCAGACATGTGGCCGTTTATAAAGTGTTTTTATCATTTTTGTTGTTGGCATTGCTATAAATATACTGGTGCGATAACTTGGTATATGTTTGATTTGTTTTTGGTATATGTCTATTTTGACTTTATAGCCCCCCCCTGGAGAAAACTCCACCACTGTGTTTGTTTTCCTTTTATATCATTGGTAACTTTTTTTTATAAAAGCAATGAGACCCTTGGCTTCCAGAGCTTATTGCTTTAGTAACGAAGTGTATCTCAATTCTAATGTAATCTTCATTTGCCATGACCACAGAGTTCGAGACGTCGAGCATCAACAAGGAGTGGATACTTCAGTTTGCACCAAACCTCGCCAACAGCCTTAGAAACATTTAGTGAAGCAGGAAAACCCCTGAGTGGATGAGTTCAGTTTCAAGATGTTCCAAAAAAGTTCAAAACAATCCTCTGGACTTTGTTTCAAAGTTTGAAGACGTTTCTCTTCCATCCAGGAAGCTTTTTCATTTCAAAATGTCAGAAATAGCTTTTAGTTCCAGGTTTTATCCAGCAGCCCAACAAAGCCTGGTTTTAGTTTAGAAAACATGCAAATAGAAACGGATGAACGGGTCCCCCCCTTTGGAATGGGGGTCGTTTGGCTTCTTTGTTAGTTTTCAAGACAGGTCAGTTGATCACCATTAATTGTTCAAACAGGCCAGAATAAACATCTGGTATTTTATACAAACGATAAAACCAAATGACTTTGTATGTTCAGGCGAGCTCTTTGATTGTGCAGGAACTGTTTTGAAGAGGACTCCCCCTGGTGGCAGGTCAAAGAGGCAGAGGCTTTCTCCTCCAGGCGGTGCTGAAGAAAAGGACGACGCCACAGACGATGGGTGAAATAAAAGGTTACCTTCAGGTGAAGATGCTCGGCAGCACCTCGCCGCAGGTGTACGTGAATATATGTGGCGCATATAAATATGAAGGTTCCAGGTTCGATTCCCGGCCCAGCGTCTTTCTGCATGGAGTTTGCATGTTCTCCCTGAGCATGTGTTGGTTCTCTCCGGGTACTCCGGCTTCCTCCCACAGTCCAAAAACATGACGTTAGGTTCATTGGCTTCTCTAAATCCTTCTTAGTGTCAGAGTCTTGGTTTGTTAGTTCTTGGTTTTCCATTTGTTGTCCTCTGCTGCCCTCTTGTGTCCTCTTTCCCTTGCTCTGTTTTCTGTTCTGCCCTCACCTGTTTTCAATCCCCTCGTTAGCCCTCTCTTTGTTTCTGTTCCCTTTAAAAGCCCTCCCTCTTCAGTTCCTGTTTGCTGGATCCTCATCTAACGTCTGTCTGCTTTCCTCGTCTCTCCCTGGCTCCTAGAGTTTTGGTTTACCCCTGATGTCTCCTTGGTTCTGGTGCGTTTGTTATTTTCTGTTGGATTTTGATTCCAGCCTCAGGTCCTGTGAACTTTAATTAAACCCACTTAAATTCACCTCTGCCTACCCGCCTCTGCATTTGGGTCCTCCAAACCAACAACGTTTCATGACATTAGGTGTGAGTGTGAATGGTTGTGTCAGCAGTGGGCTGCCATTTTGTGGCACCTGGGGTTAAAGGTTTAGCTCATGAACCCTGACTGGAGGCTGTGGGGATCAAACCGGGTTTTCGCAACCTTATCAGAGCACAAGCATACCGCTCTAATCAAAAGGTCATCACACCAATCTACCGGGTTACAGCATTAAATCCAGACAGAGGTACCCCGCATTGGGTCCCACAGCCCTAGCATGGTCAGCTTTTCAAACACGGGGGAGGGGGGGGATTACTGTGGGCGAAAGATGGTTTTTATTATAAAAAATTATTAAAAATGAAAAAAACAGTAAAATGACAAAAGTATGGGTTGAAAAATCAATAGTATCGCGTTTGAGCGCATAGGACAGCTTTTCACACCATAAAAACAGCGATTGGTCATTCTTGTATCAACTATATCAGCTGAGTCCTGTTCTTCCTGTAAACCAGAATCACCCAGAGGTTTAGTCTCCTGTCTAAGTATCAACCCTTAATATCTTAGTGTGTTTAACTATAATCTTTTTGACAGCTTTAGGAGAATCGTCTGGATTTGTCCTTAAAACATCCCAACATGCAGCTTAAATGGGAGACGATGACTTATATGCTTGGAGATTTCTGTTTCTTCTGTGTTTCTTTCTGCAGCAGAGGGCAATTACAGTGATGAAGGTGATGAAGACTATTATTAGGATGATGGTGATGCCGACCCAAGCTCCAAGACTCAACTCTAGAGGAACAGAAAAGCCTCAGTTAGAAAAAACACTTTGTGGGAACGTTAGACTGTGAGGAGTAAATCAGAGGATCAGTAAAGCCGCTGTTTTTAAAATAAATATATTAAACACACACAGAGCAGCTGATTAGATAAAGTCAATATTATAGTATGCTAGTAGAGTGCTGCAGTGTATTCCTATGGTGTAAGGCTGAGTGGGCAGATGTGAGTACCTTGCAGGACGTGTCCTTCCCTGCACTGCTGTGTGCTCCAGACTCCAAGCTGGGTGGCTTGGGGTCTGGAGGGAATGAAAGCTGCCACCATGAAGCAGTAGCTCTGTCCGGGATCCAGTCCTGACACCACTGGGTTGCTGGAGTCGGAAATCTGCTCCCTCTGAAAAGTAGAATTCATACATTAGATTGGCTCAACTATAATGGTGCTGAAACCGAAGGTTTAGGGGGGTTTAAAGCCACAGCAGGCTCTGTTAAAAAGGTTCTACATCCGCAGCTCTGATATTTTCTGTTCTGGTTGATAAGAAAATCTTTGGCAGTTTTGACCAAAGGCAAACAAAGCAATTGAAGGCTGGAATCAGGAAGTGACTTTGAAAGCCATTTGCCCACAGTGAGAATTTCTAAAAAGTTCTCAGGCTCCTCTCCTGTGGAACCAACTACCAGTTTTAGTCCGTGAGGCAGACACCCTGTCTACTTTTAAGGCTAGGCTTAAAACTTTCCTTTTTGATAAAGCTTCTAGTTAGAGTGGCTCAGGTTATCCTGAGCTATCTCTATAGTTCTGCTGCTATAGGCTTAGACTGCTGGAGGACATAGGGACCCCTTTTTCATCTTTCTGCTTCATTCTATCTCTATTCTTCCATCAATACCTTTGTTTCTAGATGTTAGAGCTTGGCCTGTTTTTCAGTGTTTAGTCCAGGGTGGACCCCACCTTTTGCCCATAGGCGGCTAGACTATCACAGTGTAAGCAGTAGAGGATAAACAGATGCTTCTATGTTCCTTTTCTATGTCTGCTTCTGTCTCCTTGAACCCCAGTGGGCCTCAGCAGATGGCCGCTCACACTGAGCCTGGTTCTGCTGGAGGTTTCTTCCTGTTAAAAAGGAGTTTTTCCTCTCCACTGTCGTTACAAGCATGCTTAGTGTGAGGGATTGCTGAAGAGTAATGAGTCGATGCAATCAGCTGGTTTTGCTTTTAAACTTTAAATCTGATGGGGTCTATAAAGTGACCTAGATTAACGTCCCAGCCGTCCGTTAGTAAAGTTGGGTCACATACCTTTCCTGTACTTCCAGACTTGTAGTAACTGATTTTATACTTGAGATCATTTTGAAGAACATCTTTGATGGTCCTCCCGCTGAAGCTCAATGGATGGCTGATGTTGAGGAAAACGGTACTCTCATTAACATCCAGGAGAGAAAAGCTCAAAGCAGTGATATTACCTGTGGAAATGAGATGGCAGAGTTTAGGTTTGGTTTATTTAGACGGACAGAAAGTGTGACAGGAAGGGGATGAAGGAGCGCAATATCACCAGTAATCACTTTGGATCACTCTAAGAACACCAGTGATCAGCTTGAAGTCTGTTTTTGATCATCTTACTGTAATGTGCAGGAGCCATTTGTCCTTTCCTGTGTTTGTCTCCACCAGGGGGCGTAGTTCGTTTTGAGTTCTGAGGCTCTGATGGGGGATGGGCTTATGTAAGGTCAACCATGATTGACTTGAGGTGTTGTTAATGGAAGAAGGCAACAGTTTTCTACTGGGATTCTGATTAAAGTGGAATTTATGTATATGTAAAGGAAATGTTTAAAACTATGGACTCTGTTCTGTTAATAAATGGCTTTATTATAAGTCAAACTAAAGATCAGCATAATAATCTTAATTGAGCGCCCGTAAAACCAAAGCCTTTCAGGAACAGCAACCTGTAGCCTAAAATATAGGATTTTATTTGCTACATTGCGGATTAACAACACAAAAATGTTTATACTTCTAAACGTTTTTATCAAGACAAAATATTAAGATTGGAATAATCAACAGGAACATTTTAATGTTTGTTTTTAATCATCCAATTTCTGAAGAGCTCAAATCAACAGTGACTGCCTTCCTCTGCGTTCAGCTCCATTACCAGGGAACCGTTATAAGGCAACCAGGCCTCCCCAAAGTCTGGGACAAATGGAGCAGGAAAAACCATCTGTGGTGGGATGGTGTCCCACCCTCCCTCCCCACTCTGGGCACCAGGTGTCCCACCCCCACTCTGGGCACCAGGTGTCCCACCCTCCCTCCCCACTCTGGGCACCAGGTGTAGCAAGAAGCTAGCCGCTGATTGGTGGGCGGGGCAGATGGCTTCACAGCTGAGCGGCCTCTGCCAGTTTCACGTGTCTTTGTTCCCCTACATGTCGGCTGCCTGATTGGCTGGTGGGCTTGATCCGCTCATCTGAAATCACGAGTGCCGTTTCTGTCGTCTGTAACGGCGATCGTGGTTAAACTTTGGTTAGTGACGGTGAGATGAAGCCTCATTCAACCGTTTGGCCAAATTGCTTCAACGATCCCCACAGTTCATGAGGCGCCATGTGAACATGTCACCACCTACTGGTGGAGTGCAGAACTACAGTTAACAATAAAACTGTTTTTCTTTTTTTTCCCTTTTAAGTTCCTTTGAAATAGTTAATGGTTGGTGTGTATGATAAAATATTTTGTAATTTTTCTTTTAAGTGTTAAATTTCTTAGAACAACTATTTAAGGTGCAGTTTTTCTGCCAATTTAGTGAAATAAACTCAAGCAGACAGTGAAAGTGTTTGTTAAATTGGGCAACGATGAGCAAAATAAAAGGTTTTAGTCATTTTTATTCAAACATTATAGTTTTTCCACATTTTTTGGCTTTAATCTGGTTGGAAGTTGTGTTTAACCAATCTTTTGGCCAAACTGACCTAATTTGGCAGCGTTTTTACCCAGTCTATATTTTTACTAAGGCAAACCAATGCAAAGTAGTCTCATTAGCCAATATAATTAAGTATAATTGCAGGTGGGTATTGAACCATCAACCTCAGGAGAGGGAGTCTGTATCTTAGAGATGGCGCTGTCCAATGGAGAAAATACTACACTAGCGTTACCACTGCGTCCAGCGGCTCGATCAGTTTGATCATTACATTGTTTATTCTAACAGAAATAGTTTGAACCAACTAGATCGGTTGGAAAAACAACCAATCTATTCTTAGAATCTATCCGACTGACAGCAACTCTTCAACAAACTCCCACATCTTGGCTGAATACTGAGGCTGTTTAGATGCCTGTCTAAATTCTTCCGCTTCCTGAACCGCTTCCCGAAGCGGTCACCTGGTATCGCTGTAGCGAGGCCTCACACGTAATTAATTTTGACCCCTCCTCTAAATGAATCACGCCTCACACACGCTTCGGGGAAACGCCCCCTCCATTACTCAACACGCTTCGAAGCCTCGGCTCACCTCATAGCATCACTAGCGTTGGTGTGTTTCTGCAGGTTGCTCTGCTGGTGTTAGCAGCTGAAGCTGGAGGTTGTGGCGGCGTGCGGCTTCCATCTAGTCCTTTTCTTTCCGTGGACTAAGTAGTTGGCCTGAAGCCATGTTTTAACTCAAAGAAATGTTTTCATGAATTTGTTAAAGTATCGTGGACTATTCTGTGTTCTGGTGCATCTTGTTTGAAAAGTTCACCGCTTTGCAGGTCATCCACCAAATTCTCATTTTAGGCAGCAGCAACTCTTTAGTGTTATTGAAAAAGTTTAGCCAACTGGACGTGAAGTTTTCTAGAAGACGATTCTCCTTCTAACAAGTGGTGGGAGGACTGGGATTAATATACTGGAGGAGGAACAAAGAATTATTAGGAACTAAACGTGGATCTGATCAGGGGAACCTGATGGCTCACTAACTCAGTCATCACAGCGGTTTCTATCATATATCTCATTGAAGTGAGTCAGGTGAGGTGGGTGGGAGGTGAATCATCTGGATATTGTTCCTAAAAGTTCTTTGGAAGGAGGTGAAAGGTTATTTCTAAAGTTTGTTACTAAGTTGAAGTATAGATACTGCAGTTTAAAAACACTCTGGTAAAAGTATCAACTTGACCTCTTTACTCAAATAAAAGTGAAAAAGTATGTGCTCCAAAAACTACTTAAAGTATAAAAGTATAAAAAACAGCCAGATGCCGCTATATGAATTGAAAGCTCAATTTTTGGACTATTTCTATAAAGCCTCTGAGATAGGGCCCAGGATGAGGGAGGTCTTGTTGGTCTCCGTCTCCCGATACGCTCTCGCCTGTGTCCGACCTTTCAGACGTTTCAGCATCTTTTTCTGAATCCCACATTGTAGCATGGCATAGACAATTCACGTTAGCAGTTTGAAGAACACCTGCTTGCTTCTGATGATTTCCTTTAGCTAACCAATGAGTGTTTGCGTTCTATGACTCATCCAATCACACGAGCTTTCACTAGATGTGGGTGGAGCCAATGATCTGCATCGGAGGGCGCACATGACGGGAAATAAAGATTTAGAAACATTAAACCGAAGCCAAGAGTAACGAGGAACGTTTGTTTTAAAAATGAGTAGAAGTCAGAAGTAGGAAGAAAAGTAAGTAATGGAGTAAAGTATAGATACCTAAAAAGTGTACTTAAGTACAGTAACAAAGTATTTGTACTTTGTTAATTGACACCTCTAAAGACCACCTCCTGAGAGCTGATTTTCCAAGGTTAACAAAGATGGTTCCTTAATCCCTCTCTCAAACCATCTGTCTTCCTTGGCTAGAATATCGAGGTTATTTTCCCTTAGACTGTCCTTTAGACCTCAGGTGTAGGTGAAAAGCATAGTCCTGTCCTGAGGAGTTGCCCCTCCTGTGTAGCGGTTGCTTGGTCTCTCCAGTCTACAGGTCTGTGAACTCTTCACACTGAGCGGCATTAACCACCGTGTCCGCCTTGTTTCTGGGTGTCTTGTCTTTGGAGTGAACCAGTTTTTGTCCCGGGGTATTGCCTGGTTTGAGATGCACAAGGATCTGGTGCTGTTTGAAAAAATCCTCCTTTTTCAGAGACTCCAGCAACATCTGGAATGATGATGTTCCTTCTGGTGACTTCTTCCTTCTCAGCAGACCGCCGTCTTCTAGGTTTCTTAGTTTATAAGGGATGGTGTGCATGATAACCTTAATTGTAACTCACCGACTACGGCAGATAAAGACGGACCCAATGATGCTAATGGCTTCTATCCAGTTAGCAACAATATTTGTTGATTTCTTTAATAGTTCCTGGCAATTTATGAATAATGGTACTTTGAACAAAAGGACTGTCACTGTCTTAGTTCTGTTAAGTTTTCTTTGAGTTTTCAGTTTCACTTTGATCCATGTTTTTCTTTGTTTTCTAGTTTTATTGGTTTAATTCCATTTGTGTTTTCTGGATGTATCTGAGAATGGCGCTAGGCTTACCGCACCGTGACGTCACTGCTGGATGATGGCAGGTGGGAGGGGTTACTATATTTGGGCCAAAATGGCCGCTCCCAGATTCGGTGACCCTGATGAAATTTATTTTTATTTTTTTACTGCTTAACGCTAAATCCATTGAAAACTTATTAGTTTTAGGATCCATTCCATTCCTTGCTGAACGAACATTGTCTTTAATGACTGGGCCTGGAAGCGCGATTAGCAGGAGCTAACGAATAGCAGACAGCAGGAGCATGGCGGCCATAGATACCCACTCTCTCTGTAGGGGTTGAACGTCGTCTTGCTGTAGGTGTGAGGAAAGTCTTCTGAGCCGTAGTCATAGCTCACGTCTGGACCTTCGGTTCTGATATCTGCTTTATAGTCCCTGCGAGACAGAAAGGAAACATTTTTCTTTGGAAAAGTGTTCTGGGTGCTGATGGATGCAAACATTCCTCCCTGTCACGGTTCTGTTGAAGGTTAAAGGTCAGTCTATATCCCCTCCTGTACTGTGGGAGAGCTACAGGCATATTTAATGAAGCCAATCAGGTTAATTATATCATCATAGAAGAAGTTGAGATAAAAAAGCTCCAGTAAGGTCTCACCTGTCCAGCGGTAGGAGGTATTCAGTCATTTCACATTCAGAGTGTGATATCTCCATGCAGTCGCGAGCTTCTATCCAGTTATTTGTCCTGAAGGGTGCAGAAGGAAACAGATCTTAACCGAAGCAAAAGCCTGTAAGCCGCGCCGAGTCAGTGTTTACAAGTCTCTGATCTTTCCAACCAAGTCGAGTTGGAAATTCTACAATTTAGCCTGTAATTTGAAATGGATCCTAGGCGGACGTTCAACTGAATAAACTGATTATTCGCCTTTATCCGCCTACGATGCAGCCAATCAGCTTTGAACCACACCTCCAAAAAAGCCAATCCAAAGTTCATCTTAAAAGGGCTCCGATCAGCAACCTCTTTGCTCCTGGGCGCAGGCGGTGGTTGCTCTATGTGACTTCATTCAGATGACCCCGTTTCAACCCCCCTCCAGCCCCTCCTCCACCATCGTAGCTAAAGCTTCATCAGAGCGTCATTCCTTCTGGACTCTTACTGCGTTCCGCGTCTCATCTTAACCGGTCCGGCAGAAGGCCGCCATGTTGAGCCTGGTTCTGCCAGAGGTTTCTTCCCAATGGGGAGTTTTTCCTCTCCACTGTCGCTTCATGCTTGCTCATCATGGACAGGTTCTCTCAACCTGTGTTATCCAAGCTGGACTTCCATCTTCCAGGTCCCTGAGTGAAGCTCTAGTATCAGCTCACGCAGTCCACTGGATCTCCCCATAAAGCTCAGCAGACCGTCTCTCCAACCAGCAGTCTACAGACTGACCAACTCCATCTATCTCCACTCCAACCAGCAGTTTCAGGCCTGGGGGGGAAACAGCCCTGTTCTTTACTCCTGTTGATGCATATCTATCAAAATTCAGCACTAATGTTTCCTGCCGAGGTCTGAGCGCCAAAGACAACTAACTGTATCAATAAATGTCTTCCAATTGTCCGTGTGAGTTTTTCAGCTTGAAATAAATATGGCATCTAATCACAGTACGAATTTTCATATTTTTAAAGGTTTTTTTTTTTTTGGCCAGAACAGCCAGCAGGGATGCTGAGCTTCAGGACACCAGGAATCTCTTCCCCTGCTGTGATTTGTACCAGAAACAGAGAAACATTACAGCCACTGAATTTAGGTAAAATATAGGATTCACAATAAAACAATAAAAACTATGAATTTCATACTTAAACTAAATCATAAAACCTACTTTTACGGTCTTAGAGCAGAAAAATTGGGCATTTAGTATGAAGTGAATTTTCTACAAAAATGTTGCAAACCAAGAAGCATGTCGCAAACGAATAAATCGAATTCTTCACAAATAAAATTTGTAAACTTGTGTAAGAAACTCTCCTTAAAGGTCAAACACAAATATACATTTAATTACTTAATTTGACAAAGGATAATATTCCCACTGGGAATTTCCCATTGGGAACCTACTAGCACTAAGTTGCTAACTGGCTGCTTCCGACAAACCGGCCACAACCAAACTTGCTAGCGAACTTTCCGCCGTAACAATCCCGCCCCCTTGATAATCGACCAATGAAATTCACTTTATTCGCTTGCGTAAAGTCGTGCACCACTTGGGAGAATTTGGAAATGCAACGATTGGAACGGCCGCTTCCCTACGACTTTAAATGGCAGAGCTCCGCCTGTCTTAGAAGGCAGTCCTGCATTCTACTCTGACGATAACTGTTTTCTACTGTTGGCTCCTTCAGGTCCCCAACGAAACTAAAATAATCAAGCAAATAATTTCAAATATGGGGAATAATATGTTGACTCCAGAAGCGATCTGATTCTTAAGAAACGGGTGCAGTAGTTTTTTCTGAGTGGCGTTGCCGTATGATGACGTTTTAAGAAAGGGGGCGGGACCCGGAGCGGATCTGGTACACCTACCGGCACCAGAACATCCAGCCTAAACCCACCCATGAACCACATCAAAACCAAGGAGTTTGGACTTGATTCTGGAGGTCCAGTGGGTTTTTCTGGCAGCTCCAACCCATAAATGAAGCGTCAGTTTTAGGCCAGAGAAGCGGCTTCCTGGTTCGTCTGGAGCTTTGCTAGATGATGATCCAGCAGATTAGATTTCATTCGTCCTTTTAGGTCCTTCAGATGCTTCCAGTTCAGGTGGACTCATGGGTCACTGGAAGGTAACGAGTCATCCATGTACCATCATCTAAGGTAGCATTGGGTTAGCTTAGGCATCTCTACTCACCCCTCAGTGAACAGGACGGTGCATGTATACTCAGACTCTTCCATGTCCCACAACAGAACCGTTTTGAAGTCATTGGAGACCCATCGAACGTTCTGGGCTGTGGGAATAGAACCGCCACCTGGAAACAAAACAAACATCCATCTAAAGTAGAAGCTCGGTATTAAAAACGATCCAGTTTTTATTTAGCATTGCTTGATCTGTGAATCTGGATTCTTTCCTTCTTCAAATAAAGGATAGAGGCAGCAAGTTTCCTTTTGATGCTATTTTATGCTAAAATTGACTTAATGCTACGTTCAGACGGCACGCAGCTGAAGCAGCTAAAACACGCTGCTTCATTTCTGATGCTTGTACCAGTTTAGTTCTGATGCGCGGCTGAAGCATCTTTGCCGCTCTAGCTGCATGGTGATAAAGTGGGTCTGATGCGAGGTGGGCGGAGCTACTCTATCCTGGAACAATGGCAGCTATATTAGCTGTGATCAGCGGGTAGAAAGTAGTTAGAATCTATGTTGAAGTGAGAAAGTCCTCCTGAAAACATGGTCTGTGCAGTCAGTTCATCCAGATTACCATCCTGCCTTCAAAGATTATTTCTCTGTGGGAGCCGCTCAGACCCCCACATACCGGCGCTGCGCTGTCACTGGGAATCCCCAGCAGCAGCTGCCTCAGGCCCGCTCGCCTCTCCAGGGTTTTCCCCTCCTGTTGGTGGCGGCTGGAAGTAGATGTTAGCGTTTTTCAGGTCTGTGCTACAAACTGCAGGCAGCAGGATAATAAAAGCCAACATATTCTGCCGGCAGTTTTCTACATTTGAAGTTAATTTAGGCGTTAATAAACTGTTTCAGAGGAGTGATCATAGCGCTCTGCATCAGCAGTGCTGCGTCTGACTCCCTGCCAGCTCCCAGATCAGCTTCTCTCATTGGTTGATGTCCAGCAGCTAAAGGTCAATGTTTCCAGCTCCAGCAGCTGCTGCTTCTGAAGCGCCTCAGATGCTCAGAAACTCCTGCTGCTCAGACGTGCTGCAGGTTCTTTAGCTGCGCCTCGATCCACATCAACCAGTGACTTTACATAGGGTGACCATATTTTCATTTGGGAAAACCGGCGGGGGTGATCTCTGTTCCCATCCATAGAGATGTCTGTGGCATGCACTCACTTAACATAGGCCTAATCCTACAATAACATGATATTTACAGTTGGTTTATTAAAAATGCTTTTCAGTAAAAGTCGACTCCAATAACAAACGATAATTTTATTCAAAATGTATTTATTAAAAAATGCTTAACAATTCCTGTAATGAATGAAAAGCATAATGAAAGAAATAATGTCTCATCTAAACATCCCTCACTTAACAATAAAAGTTAACAACAACTCTCAACTCCCAATAACAGATGATACTCAGCCTCAGCGATGAACGAAATAATGTCTGTTCTGTAGGCTATTGGAAAAAATAAATTAACAAATGAGCTAATTAACATAAAAATACCTCTTGTGTAGCAAAAATAACTCAAAATGTACCAAAAACGAACAAACACATCAATAGACTATCTTTACTTTCGGAGTCCAAGTGTCTTTTCAGATTCCTTGCACCTCCATTGGACACCGAGACATATGTGCCTGCTTTGCACACTGTGCACAAGGCCTCCCATTTGTCTCAACCCGCTCTGAAAGCGGGGAAACTCTTTTGTAAATCGTCGGTAAACATACATTTGCGCTTTTGCATGTTGTTGGCGAATTGACAGCCACGCAATCTATATTCTGATTAAGAACAGGGCTGCCCGCACTGATGCGGCTCAGGGATTATGTCACACGCAGCGCCGTGCGCAGTGCCCTAGTGCATGAAGGTAATTTAAAAAAACAGGACATTTCCTCACTTTCTAAAAGAAATGCGGGACGCCCGGGACAGGACGTGAAATACGAACATGTCCCGGGAAATACGGACGTTTGGTCACCCTACTTTACATGTAAACTAGCTGCTTCTGCTGCCTCTGCTGTTAGCTGTCTGAGCGTAGCATTGGAGTACTTTTTTGGGAATTATTTCATCTTGTTTAGTGCGAAGCAGCCAATCAGACGTCATCGTTTGCTATGGAGGCAGACCTAGAGGTCATAGCCATTCCAAAAAATTAAAAAACAATCCACTGGACTTTGTTTCCAAGTTTGAAGACGTTTCTCTTCCATCCAGGAAGCTTTTTCAGTTCAAAATGTCAGAAATAGCGTTGAGTTTGAACTAAAGATCCGGAACGACTCCCATTCCAAAGGGGTGGACCCGTTCATCCGGTTCAATTCGCATGTCGTGCTAAACAAAAACAAGGCTTTGCTGGGCTGCTGTATAGAACCTGGAACTCAACGAAAAGTTAAATTCTTGCACAACTAGAGATTTAACCTGCAAAGCACAAAAACTGGTACAGCGCATGCCTGGCTTAACCAGAACTCACTGCGACTAGAAGTCTGGCGTTCCTTCCATGCTTGTTTCAGTGATTCTGACCTTGTTTTACTAGCGGCCCTTCCTCGCCTTCGCTTTATCCTCTCTAGGTTCCTCTGAGCCTTCTGCCTTGCCGTCCCTTCAGATACATCCTCCTGATTCCATCCTTTCTCCTCCATGACCAACGAATTCTGGTTTTCTCCTCAGTCCCTCTCTGTTCTCCCTCACACCACTGAACCGAGCGCTGTTCAGAGTGCCGTTGTTCAGTGTCTTGTCCCCTGATGGATTCTGGGAACTAATCTAGTTTCACCAAGCAGGTTTAACCACCTCATACTCAAACCCTCAACTCTGAGTTGATGTAGCCTGAGGTTGGAGAACCTGCTCTGCTAAACGGACATCAGGCCTCGGCTGCTCTGGGGTTCCTGTTCCTGTTGCTGGTTGAGTTCCTGGCTTTAATAAATTTGTTAAAGGGCAGATTAGACTTCTGCAACCGCACACATCAAATGTTGCTTGGGTTTGGTTGCAAACCAGTTTTGCTGGTATCCTTCTGCAACGTCGGTCCAGAATTTGTAGGGACACACAGCAGTTTCCCACCAAAGCGCAGCGGGAGCCTATTCAAGAACTCTAAGTTCTAGGGGTGTTCCAAAACAATAATGGCGCATCTGCAAGATATCACGGTCACAGAGATAGATCTAGAGTTGCTAGACATAGAAGAGGAACAGGTTCTGTTAAAGGACCGCACCTTTTCGATTAACCTTTTGTCGAAGTTATCCATTGAAGTAGTTCCTCGGGTTTTAGAAATGGCGTGCCCCGGCACCGAATCGAGAAGGACGACCACACAGACAGCCGGAAAGGCAAAGCAAGGACCAATCACAGCTGCTTTGGTCTGCGTACTTCCGCTTGAGGTCTGCGGCGGTTTGCAACTGTCCGACGTGTAGTCAGGACTTTTTCGTGGTGCGTGACGGCGGATGCAGAACCTCTGCGCGGGGCGCTTGGTCGCGCACAGAGAAAGATTTGATGGTTGCAGAGGCAATGCGTCAGAAGCATAAATTGACCTTAATGTGTCTGACTGTGGTTGGTTAAATACTGATCATCGGTCTGTTCCAGAACTGAATTTAAAAATACTTCCCAGGTTTTTGGTTCCTGTGTTGCTTTTGGCTGCTGCTCATCTGGAGTTCATAACCAAGCAGAACTTTGTGTTCTGATAAACACATTGCTGGTAAATTAGCAAAATAAAACCACCCAGTCTATGACCTCATTGTTCTTCTCCTAAACATCCCCCTGCATATGCTGACCTGCTGGGGTTTTCTGTGGGACCAGATCCAAGCATCTTCTCTGGTCCTACAGAGGAGATCCGCTCCATCCCTCCTTCCTCTGTGTCTCAAAGCATTCCTCCTGCTCATCCTGCGCCATAGTTCCTCAGAACAGTCTGTTTCAGTTCATTCCTGGTTTGATCCATGTTTACCGTCTCCTGATGTGAGTCAGAGAAAAGGCAGATGTCTTCATGCTGGCCTCCATGAGGTAGAGATGTTCGGCTGTAGATGGAAACGATAAGCAAGTTGCTGCATGTCAGAGAGAGGAAACGGTCCTCTGGATCCAGACACTAAGTTTTCCTCTTTGTAATGGAGGAGCAGCTGAAAGGCTGAATGCAGCCTCAGCAGCTGAGGAATGAAACCCTGTCAGCTGCGAGTCTCAGTAACCGGATCACTGAAACTTTTCTCTGACTCTCTGGCTCCAGGTTAGAGTTGAACTTTCCTCTGACAGGAGAAAACAAGGACGTCTTACCTGTGGTTTTGCTCCAAGCTGCGGCCATAAACGCTCCCACATACAGCAGAGCTCTGATAGAGGCCATGCTAACTCTCTGGATTCCTTTCCAAACTACCTGCTCAGAGGAGAAGCTGCTGTGCTTCAGAGCGAGCTGCCTCTGCGGCGGGGCAGAGAGCGTGGGAGCTGCAGAGGGGTGGAGCCGGGGGAGCATTCAGGGTTCTGCCTGCTGATACTTTCCACATGTCTGCAGCCCATGGGGGCTCATTCTGAATTCCTCCCAGACCCTGACTCATGTTCATGTGAACGTTGTGAAAGCGGGATGACAAACCAGGGGGAGTGTTTCCAGAGGAATGCTGCGCACCCTAAAACCAGCTGAACTAATAGGGCCTCCTTTGTGTCAGCCGACAGCTAAAGCTCCCGTTGCCTTGGCAACAGAAGCTCTGACCCAGAAGAAGCGCTCAGAAACCCCCATGTTCTGTTGGCTTTAAATGGCTGACAGCCAGGACCTGTGGGGGGGGGGGGGGGGACCTGCTCAGAAGGACTGCAGGAGTTCAGCAGAACTTAAAAAGCCGTTAAGATGGAAAGTTCAGAACAAGAACCTGCTGGGAAAAAAGGAAGAAGATTTATCAGCTGATAAAACATCAGAACCTAAAGGTCCGGTCACACCTCGCCCATTTAAACCAGCATATGCCTGACGTCAGTTCCTCATCCGTCATGGCGTCTAGCTCATCCTAAACCTCTGAGTAACCTGTGCATAACTTCTGCGTAACTTATCTAGAACTCAGGATACTGGCTTATGAATCATTTCCTGGGCATCACGCTGCCGTGCGTTATGCAGAAGTTAGGCTGTCGTTGGACAAAAGTTCTGGACTCGTTATAAATCCTCCATCTATACGCCCAGAATAGAAAGAATCCATAGAAAGTTCAGCGTCTGCCAGAGTTTAGGAGATTCTGGGACGTCGGGCAGACGCTGGAGAAATCAGCGAGGCGTGACGGGAGCCTTTAGCAGCTGGTCTGGAAGCTTTGAACCAGTCTGGTTGAACTGGTACTATAGAAATAAACTTATCAGTGGTGAACCTGAGATGAACAAGGAGGGTCAGATGTGGGAAAATGCTTTCCCTCCAAAGTCTCCATCCCTGGTTCTGATGTTCTGAGGTTCACAGTGACTCCTGTCAATCCTTCCCTGGATCTGTGGTCGGACTCACCCAGCTGGTCAGCAGAGAGGGAAACGTGAGGATTTGGGTTTTGTTTCTATGATCAGTGAGCGGATCTGCCTGCATAGATCCCACGCTGTTTGGATCTGATAAAGTCCATCTATGAATACATTTCCCTTCCCATCATTCACCATCAGTTTCCCCAGAGGGGCGGGGTTGGTCTGAGGGTCTGAACATTTCCACACTGAGTTGGATTTTGGTCAATTACACCTCTTAGCACCGGTAACCGGTCCGAGGCCTCGGTTCTGGTTCTGGAAGGGAGATTGTGGCCTGTTCCCTTCAGGTTGGAGGAGAGTTCCAGTATTATGGGCTCCTGTCCATCAGCGATGGGAGAATGGAGGTGGACGTCTATAGACGGATCTATAGACGGATCTATAGACGGATCTATAGACGGGTCTATAGATGGATCTATAGACGGATCTATAGACGGGTCGGTTCTGCTGCTATAATCCAGACGCTGCTCCGTCTGCTGTGGTTCAGAGAGCAGATAGAAAAGGTAAAGCTCTGATTTAGTCGCTCTACCTTCCTCCCCTCACCTCTGGTCATTAATCTGGATCAGGACCCAAAGAACCAGATCCTGGATCCAAGCTTCCTCTGCAGGGAGGCTGGGCTCTCCCTCAGAGAGAGGGGGAGGAGCTCAGTCATCAGAGTAGAGCTGCTTCTCCTCCAGAGAACTCAGCTGAGGAGGATCAGACATTTTATCTGATGGACGCCTCCCTCTGAGGGATTCCAGGGACGTCCCACCAGGAGGAGGACCAGGACACCATGGAGGGATCGGGGGGGATTTACCATTAGGCAATACTAGGCAGTTACCTACGGCCCCAAGTTCCTGGAAACCCCATAAAACTCTGCATGTATAGTTAATACAACTATTCCTTATTTGTGCATGTTATGTTTTTGATGAAAATCCTTCGGCTAACACGCCATCAGAAGGCTGATAATATTAAGTATTCTATTAACATCTCTCTATCTGTAGAATGGGGCTGTTTTATGTGCGTCTTCTCCATTCAGAGGGCCCCCTGCCTTTCTTTGCCTAGGGCCCCACATTTCCTAAATCCGCCCCTGGCAGGGAGGAGGAGATGAATACAGGGAAGTCTGTGTCCTCATCATTTGTCTCCTGCCTGTGGGTACCATGAGGGGGGGGATCTATGCAGTAACAAACCACATGTTCCTTACTGGTGCAGCCAGAATGCAGACTGGACTGAACTGGGCCTGCAGGGTCCGACTGAGCAGCCAGCAGGCAGAATAACCAGCTTGTAACGCAGTGAGCTTCCTGGGAGATGATGAAATGCTGGGAGCTCAGAGGTTATGGAAGCAAATCGTTACCATATTTCAAATGAAAAAGCATTTCCAGAAATGCTTTTTCATTTTAAGAATGTGGCGGCATTACTTGAGTCATAAATAAAATTAGTAATCAATCATCCTATTTGCATTTGCATTTTCTTCTTCAAGACTGCTCATCCTTTTACTTAATTAAAATGAAAAAGACATTTGAGATTTATTTTTCAAAATGTACCCCAGCAAATACATACCAAAATTCAATTTGAAATGTAAAATTTGAAAATGAAAAAGCATTTAAGAATGTGGCTGCATTATTTGACTCATGAATGAATTTAGTAATCAATCATCCTATTTGCATTTCCTTCTTTAAGACATTTTATGCCATAATCAAAGAGAAAACATTTTCATTTCAAATGGAATTTTGGTATGTATTTGCTGGGGTACATTTAGAAAAATTAATCTCAAATGTCTTTTTCTTTTTCATTTTAATTAAGATTAGCAGTCTTGAAGAAGAAAATTTAAATTGATTACTAATTTTATTTATGAGTCAAACAATGCAGCCACATTCTTAAAATGAAACTGAATTTCTGAAAATGCTTTTTCATTTGAAATATGGTAACGATTTGCTTCCATAAGAGGGCAGGACGTGTTCTGCTGTTTTTACAGAAAGGTTTTCATGCTTGGCAGAAGCCTCTGCCTGTTTTATTGGTGCCTGAGCAGCAGCTATGCAGCCGTAAACAACGAGCAGAACTAAAACCAATCCTGAGGCCCGAGGCAGGGCAGATATCACCTCAGCAAACACATGACTCCTTCTTAAGGTCAGCCAAAGCTAATAACGCCTGAGAATGTCCTCATTTTAGGAATTTCTGCTTCTCAGAAATGTGTTGCCCAACAAATCTCCTGGTTTAGTCTGGAGGAGCCGAGGGTTCAGGGGAAGTAAAAACCAGGCAGGTCGAAGGTTTCATCATCTTATTCAGCCGTCTGACTCACTGAGGAGAAATAGATCCTCACTGCAGCTCATTTCCTCTGCAGCGCCAGCGGTCGCTCCAGCTGCTGCTGTTTATCCAAGCAAACAAATATTATTCTGACTTTTAGCTGGGAACCATGTTTATCGCTGACCCTTTTCTCCTGTGTGACGGGCAGAACATCAGGCTCCATGAGGAGCTCCTCTTTCACGGCTCCTTCCAACTAAAACAGGACAAACTATCTCACTTCAAAGGAAAACTTTACATTTCTTTCAGCAAAAAATCCTTCATAGATCCGTCTGATTTCATCAAATGAGTCAATATGTCGTCTTTCAGAGAAGCAAACAATGAAGCGCTCTGTTGCTCTCAGTGAACAGATGAACCCACTGTTTATTTCATTAAGTTGATTAAGACTTTGTTTTCATTCAATTGTTTTTCCACTCAGATTTGATCTGAAGTCTCTTTTTAACAGACGTCCTAAATATATCTGTGGACCATTTCACACTTAAGGTCTGGAAACCATGAAGAACTGAAACCAGCACAGATCGGCAGGTAAACCTGAGAAAAGACGTCTTCTGCTCCTCCTACCAGCGTTTCCCCTTCGGCTGCAGACAGAATGATACAAACTTTAACCTTTTAGAAGAAGGAAGGGAGGATTAGAAAGAGAGAAGATCCTGTAATGACCTTATTGTGGTCTAAAGCATCTGTATATACAGTAGATACTGTAGATATTGACTCTACAGCAATCCCTCATTCTAAGCATGCTTGTAGCGACAGTGGAGAGGAACAGATTCTGCAGAGTGGGAGAATAGAGATAGAATGATGAAAAAGGGGTCCCTATGTCCTCCAGCAGTCTAAGCCTAAAGCAGCAGAACTATAGAGATAGATCAGGATAACCTGAGCCACTCTAAACTCTGGTTTATGCTCAGAAACCAGCTCGTCTGCATGTGTGTCGCAGTTACAGCAGACATGCCCCCCCCCATCCGCAACACTCTGCTGTACCTCGCCAAAATGGTAGGTGACCGCAGACAGGAGGCGTCTGATTGGTCAATTCTACATTCGCTCTACGCTATGCGTATTTCCTGTTTGGTACCTTACCCGCTCTTTTTGGCCCTCATGTCCCTCCGTTGTAGCAAAAACTTGCCCACACTTCCTCACCGCCTCGGCCGTATCTAGACCCACAGCTAGTTCCTGATTGGCCCCCTGGGGTTGTGGCGTGGAATAACATAGAGCAGACCACGCTTTAATATTGAGCATAAATCAAAAGTGCGGGAGGATAACCAGCCCGTAACTATAACTAATCAGCTTCATTTTCAAAGACTATAACTTCTATCCTGTCTACGTTCAGTGGCTCAGGTTATCCTGATCTATCACTATAGTTCTGCTGCTTTAGGCTTAGACTGCTGGAGGACATAGGGACCCCTTTTTCATCATTCTATCTCTATTCTCCCATTCTGTAGTTTTCTTTCTAATATTTCAAAGGGAGTTTTTCCTCTCCACTGTCGCTCCATGCTCAGTGTGAGGGATTGCTCTAAGGTCAATATCTCCTGTCTCCACCTGTTCATCCAGTGACTGAATGCAATCAGCTGGTTTTCCTGATAGAATATCTGCACCTATAATCAGCACTGGATGATCTGGATGACCTGGATCTATAAAGTGCCTTCAGATGGTGTGTGTTGTGGATTGTTGCTATAGAAATAAACTCAGCTGAATGGAAAAGTATCTGATCTAACAGACCCCCCCCACCCCCCGTGTTAATTTGGCTGTTTTGGTAAAAACCTTCATGTAAACAGCTCTCAGCTGGAGCA